AAGATCTTCATCAAAATGTTTAATATATCTTTCAACCTATAAATAACACAACGCTATTATCATTTAACCAAGAAAGAATAAAAGGATAGACAAATCTTACACATACTAATGCCAAAGCTTTATCTGTAATTTCAATTTTTTCATCTTGCAATTGTGATACTCTTATGTAATCATTCATAACCTTTTCTTTTAACATTTCTTCGTCTTCAAACTCTGTTATAACTTTAACAACTTGATGTTTTTTATTTTGTTGTCATCTTCATCTTCGCCATAAAAATCTTCTTCTTCTTCTTCACTACTTTTATCTTCTTCATCGCCATATTGATTTTCATATATACTTTCAACTACAGAACAATCACTATCAAATGATCCTCCGTCATATAAACACCATAATCTTTTTTTACGACGTTCAATCCCTTTCAATAAATCTTTTATTTATTTATTGTAAAAAAATTTTTAATCAATCATACCATACTGATATATGTGTAATGTATCGATTAATTAATTTTGAATCATACCATCAATTTCTTGTTCTCTATTTGATATTTCACTAAAATGATGACGTATTTCAGATGGAAGATTATCAATGCCTTTACAATTTTATTTTTCATTTTTAACAAAAATCCCATATATAAATGAGAAAAATCTTTTTTTTATTAATATAATCATCAACTAACTTAATAATATTTGACTAATACTTACTTCCCAAAAATTGTATCAAGTATTCATTTGCATCTATTGCATCCATTTTATATATATATATTTGAAATTTATTATTTTTTTTCTTTAAAATAGGGATTGAATCGGGCTTAAACAGGGATGTAATTTTAAAACAGGGCATAATTTTAACTTGAAATTCACCATTTATAAATAAATTAATAGCTTCTGAAAATACAAATAATTCTACAACTCAAAATTTTTATTTACCTGCCCGGAAGACCACAAATTTTGTATCGAAACTTTTAAATTATCAAATAATCTTTCTATGTCTTGTTCAAAAGTATCTCAATAAAGGTAAAGAGAAAAAAAGCGTATTATTTTTTAAATAAACTTCTAGAAAATCCATG